CAACCTCCCAGGTGACTGATGAAATCCCCCCACTCTGGCTTCTCTAAACCTGACCCTCTCCAGCTCTGTGCAAGCTCTAGGAATTGTCTGCTGACAGCTAATTAGTAACTGGTTTTGCCCAGCACCCTGTGTATAGCTTAGTTTTCAGCCACAGGTGTGAGGAGCTCCCTGTGCAGAATTTTGGGGTTCATTCTCTGAGCAGCTCACTGCCTCCTGTCTGGTACTCCACCTCCCAAATTCCAGCCGCCTACAGCCCCGCCAAAGGGTGACTTCTGCATCTTCAGCTCAAGCTTTGCTTGGCTTCCCCTGCTTTCTGTGGCACTGTTCAGAAGGCTTCTCTGGGCTGGAAGCCAGGGTGACCACAAGACGCGCCCCTTACAGTTCTCTCGGTGGTCACAGCGCGGGGCTGCCTCATGCCCAATATTGGTAAACAGTTTTTTCATATGTTTTCTCCAGTTTTCTAGTTGTTTATGGTGGGAGGGTTGTCTAGTAGCAGTTTTTCCATTATGACAGAAGTGCCTCACAATATTTTCCTGTTGATTATTGCTGGTGTAGAAAAGAACAGTTAATTTTTATGATTTTTACTGATCAGGCAAATAGCCTGACTTATTTTATCACGTGTTTCAGTTTGTCTCTTGAATATCTTGATAATCTACAGAGCTATTATGCCTTTCATGTCTTATAGCATAGTCCAAAAATCTAGTACCAGGCTGAATAGAGAATGGGGAACACTTATCTTCTTCCTAATCTCAAAGAAATTATGTCTAAAGTTTCTCCATTAGATACAAAGTTCACACTAAATTTTTGGTATTATTATTATAGACAGCTAAGTTAGGTAGGAATATCGGCAGTCAGACAGGGCTAGGCCCTCGAGGGAGTCAGTGCAGAGGAGGAGAACACATCAAAAACTCGTTGGAGGCGCATCTGAAGATTAGTCACAGTGGCCAAATTTATGTATTTCCCCAGGGAAGCTAGATTATTGGTACCACTCTATTGAGATTTCCCATATAAATAAACCTTTATCTAATTAGGGGTGGACCATCTCCCATCCACTAAGACTAAGACTACTAAACTAAGGCTAAAGTCTAGGACTATAGCTTAGTGACCAAGCTTAGTTATTGATGTCGTCCATAAGCCCTTGCTACTATCGGATGAGTCTTAGCTAAATGGCTGTACTCGTACTCATATTAATTGTAATTAATTATAATTGACCCATGTTGTGTCTTTGCTCTATAAAACTTTCTCAGAGAAGTGGGCTTGTTGGCAACCCATTCAGGACCCCTCCTGTCTCTCAGAAGCTAGTCCTATTCCCCATTCCCAAAGATTTTCCTAATCTCTATTGTTCCTTAGAATTCATTCTTTCTGGAGCTGGAACTCAGCAACTCAGCGTATCTAACATCTAGCTGATTGGGAGTTACGTTTATCTCCCCTATATCATTATCTATTATCAAGATAAGAAAATTCTTTCCGGCTGTGGTGGCGCATGCCTGATCCCAGCAC